TATGAAGAATATTAGTTGGAAACTTTTAAAATGATAGATACCTCTCTTTTCCACCTTTAAGCAAAAATAAACCTTTAAAATTGAAATTTATTAAAACTAAGCTGATTTAAATTGTCCTTAAGTACCATAAATAAATTCCCAAAGTAGTATAACAAACTAAATTTCTAGTTATTACAGAATTCCTGTATATCACAAAGTTCCTTAGTCAAAAAGGTGCTTGTAATGGAGAAGAAATTCAGTTTTTATAAGCCATGAAAAACATACCCAATTAAATTAGCCTTATCACAATAACAAATATTATCAAGCCTTTAAAAAAATTTACTCAGTATCTTTCAGGCTTAAAAATCACACCCCTATATTTTTCCCAAGGATTTTCCTTTACTCAGGAATTCCACAACACTGTAAACTTTTGCGCAGAGCTGATAAGAATTTTGGGTGAAACTTCCTCTCACTTATAGACAAAACTTAGAAGTTTATTCTAACCCATTCATTCTCTCCTATCTTTTTTTGGAGGGGGTACAATTCTTGATCTAACATCTCTAGATCATAAGAGAAATACTTTTTAACGACATAGCTGATAACAATTTGTTTACCTGATTACATCATATAAGAAAATTCAGAAATATAACCATACCACAAGCCATTATCATATATTTAAAACTTGAAATAAAACCAATTAATTACCATCAGTTGACCTTGATTTAGCTAGATGAGCAAATCAAATCTGGATTTACAATCACTGATGGTAACATTTTAATTTCTAAGGCCCAATACTCTTAGCACTTTAAAGGAAAAGATTATTATACATAAATTCACACTTTTTTTTTCTAATTGAGGCCCTGATATATGGGAGAATACCTAATTAATTCCAAAACAGTGTACATCAATAAGTTGTTCACAATAAAATACGTTTGTACCACAGGACACACATTATAAACAGGCATTACTTTCACAACAGTAATAAATTTTGAAACAACCCATTAGATGAATGCACTTCCAAATCACTTTGCACGGAGAAACATTCATCTCATCATTAATATATTGAAACTATAACTTTAAACCACCATATATTTTTATAATAGTCAAAATTTCAAATGAAAAATCTGCTATCATAGTAAATGTCAGTATTATTATTGCCTGCTTATAACCAAATATACTTCATTTAACAGTTTTCAAATTATCAAATTTTATCACATCCTTTTAAAAGACCAATCCATATGCACCATTTCTACCTCACAATGGTCTCTCAAATTTTACAATCTAAGAGTTTTAGAAATGCAATACAATTTAGAAATATAGTAATAACACAAACAATAAACTTTAGATGACATCAGTTGCATTTCCATATTATCACATATAGAAATTATTGATCTTATTTCTCTTGGTATTTAAAAACCACTTCAAAGTTATCAGGCATGGAACAATTACATTAAATTAGGGAGATAATAATGTTGTCTAACATATGCCAGACATTGTTTTAAGCACTTTACAATCATATCATTTTGATCCCATGACAACAACCATTATTATTTTTCCCTTTACAAATCTGGAAACAGAGCAAACAGAGATAAAATAGCTAGCCATAAATTACAAGTAGACACATTTCTGCAACTGGAACAGAGAAATATGGAGCTTACCAAGAGCAGAAGTTGGCTTCTCACCTCATAATGCTATTGCCAGGGGCTCAGGTGGCTGATGCCAGGGCTTTCCAGGTGGTGATAATTCTTGATGGCAGGGCTTAGGGAATCTCATCGTAGTTCTGACCTGTCCACCTCTCCCCTCCCCACAGCTGCAGAATTTGCTGAGGTTGATGCCGTTTGCAGCTGCTGGGGCACGGTGGGCAGAATGTATTGAACCTGGATGTTACTCCCAGGCCTTGCCTAGAGGGGTGGGCTACAAGGTGCCCAAGAGCAGACTATCTTTATTTCTTTTCTTTTCTTTTTTGGGGGGGGAGGGGCCTAGGCGATGGGGTTAAGTGGCTTGCCCAAGGTCACACAACTAGTAAGAAATAGCAGACTATCACTCGTCTGTGATAGCTGCCCCTGCTCTCCTTTTGCCAGATGGGGAAGGCTGATTTAAGTTTTCCCTACAATTCTCCAGCATTCTCTTCTCTTTTACAATCCTCATATTGAGCTGCTTATCTCTGGAGAGGGAGTGGGGAATGCTGAGGAATCAGTATTGGGAGGAGGTATTTTAGCAGAAGGTGAGCTCCTGGAATTACCCCCAGGCTCAGGAGTTTTCTCCAACAATCCCAAAATGACCAATTTCCCAATTTCTTAATGATTAATCTCAAAACCTCCAGAATCTGCTAAGATGTCTTTAGCTGTATCTAACTTTTCACTGTATGTCTAGGCTGGCCAGGCCTGAAACCACAAGGAAAGGAGTCTTACGGGTTTGTTGTTTTCCTAGCTGCAGCCCTGAGAAGTCTCTGACTGCCTGCATTTTAAATCTTACGAGGTAATGGACTCACTCCCAGCACACGTGATACAGACACAGAGACATTCACTGACAGACAAATTGACAGGACAATACAATAGTGAGCACTCAATGGCACAGAGAGAGGGAATTAGAGGCTTGTTAGATACTCCCAACACAAATTGGCTATTTATTATTATTCTGAGGAAGGTGGTTGGGGAATTTGCAAGGATCCAAGACCTGATAGTGTGAGTGGATCCTGTGAGCCTTCCTCAGAGTGCCCCTGAGGTTGTACATTTAAAGGGGCAAGTCCCAATGAAGTTAAATTCGGAGATCTGAGTCCCCGTCAGGACCATAGCCTTTAAGGGAAAGGGGAGAGTGAAAGGGATTATTTGGAGCCTGGGAAAGAGTACTGAATGGGCTTTGTGAGCCTTAAGGGAAGAGGCTTCTGCCTTTCCTTCTCCCTCAGCCATCTCAGCAACCTAGCTGTAAAAACATTCCCACTCCTTTGGCCTTTAAATTTAATTTGGTTTTAAGATAAAGTAATTTTGACTGGTCAAAAGAACGCCTATTGCGGCCACCATAATTTGGGGCTATCTTCAGTTAACTGACATCAGCGCTGGCAGTATTTGTGATCACCAGATTGGCAATGGCTTGACATATAAGAGACGGTGGTCTTGTTAGCTGAATTTCTCGTTTTAGTTTCTGTGGTGGTCTTGTTAGCCACATTTCTAATTTTAGTTTATGATTGACCCATCCTAGATCAATCCTTACCAGAGGGGCCCTAACTGATACAGTAGCCGGAGTTTCTGAACCACGACTTGATCCCCAACCCCAGAGCTTGCTTAAAGGGAATTTTCTTTCAGACTTCAACCAAATTAGTGGTAGGTCCTTGGAAGCTGGGAATAGGACAATTTACCGGACTCCATCAAGGTTAGGACTCCAGGAAAAAAATGGATCCTGAAGTACCCGAGCCACTAGCAATGCTGGAGTGGGTTGTTGTTTTCACCCACTCCTTCAGTTCCATCCAAAGTCATGGTACCATTGCTGTCGATCTGAAAGTTAAAGAGGCAACAAGTTCGATGATAAGTAAATTCATATTGTTTATTCCCTTAAGTTAGCGACATGTACATGGAGCCAGAGCTTTTAACTCTGACTGAATCAAGCAATTTTAGGAGAACATTTACTCAGGATGTCTGTTACGTGTGTGTGTGTGTGTGTAGCCTCCATATTTTTTTTTAACATATAGCATGGGAAAGGAAGTTTCTCAGTTGAATAGGTTGTAAATACAATAAAATAGAATGTCAAAGTGTCAGTTGAAATTATAGATCCAGGATATCTGTGTTTCCCCTACATAACATATGTCCATAGAATACCAAAATGAGAAAAATCCCACTATTCAAGAGAGTGTCTGGTCCCAGGTATCCTGTCCTTAGTGATCACAAACAGGAAGAATGTTGGTCAGCTCCACCTGGTACTGAAGTTACCGACACAGGGAGGGGCATTTTTAGTTCACTTAGAGAGAAAAGATTAATTCAGGTTTTTGGCCCTTATTGGGGTTCAATTGATCTTAAATGATTATCACTGTAAAATTTCTCTACTGCTCAGCAACTTTTTTGCAAATACTTATCATCAGCATTATATTATGTAATGAATAAATATTCAATGAAATAATGTTTCTTATTGCCTCGGATAACATAAAACCCAGATGCCAACCCCTTTCTTTGCCTCTTTCAGAAGTACCAGTGGGCCATCCTCCAATTTAGCTGCAACCTCATTCTTCTGGATTAATTAACAAATAAAAATCCCGAATGGAATGTGAGGGGATGTAGTCAGACCTCTCCATTAGAAAAAAAAAATCATTATGGCAGCAAGGTGGAGGATGAATTGGAAAGGGAAGAGATTTGGGAAGAAATCAACCAGAAATTTATGCAACAGTACAGATGAGAGATGATGAAGGCCTAAGATGGGGTGGTGGTTGTGAGTGGAGAGGAGAGGATGCTACAGACGTGGAAATGGAAAAGACGAGATTTGGCACAAGAGTGACGTGGATGTAACTGGAGGAAGTCAGAAGGGCTCACGAGGAAAACAAAGAACACACGTAGTACTGTGGTCATGGAACCACAGAGGCCTTAGGATGGCATGCCTCCAGCCATGCCCCCCAGTCCACAGTCGCCCTAGCTTTGGCCGCGCACGTGGGCCAAGGGACCCCTGGGCTCCTCATTGCGGCAGGAAGGATCCTCATCGATGAGGATGCCCTCATCGACCCCAGTCTGCAGACACGGGGTTTTTGGAAAGGAAGGGGCCGGGTGCACGAGCCCGTGCGCTGGAAGTGTCCCCTGTCCCTTTAAGCTACTGAAGCCCTTAATGTGAGGCATCTAGCCCTGCGCTTGCGCAGAAGAATCCGTCCCCTCCCTCCCCCCCATCCCGACCCTCGACTACATTTCCCAGAACCTCTTGGGGGCGCAATTCTATCTTGGGACGAGGTTCCATTTCCCGGAATATGTAGCCAAATACGTACTCCCGAGCCCAATGCATTCTGGGAATTCTAGTTTGCGGTTCACCCTGCGCAGGCGCAGTTCCCAGTGGGTGGGACTTCATCCAGCCCTTTTTTTTTCCCCGCGAGACGTACCCGGCAACTGTTTGGTGAGTGTGTGTGTGAGTGTATGTGTGTGTGTGTCTGTGTCTGTGTGTCTGTGTGTCTGTTTCTGTGTGTGTCTGTGTGTGTCTGTGTATATGTGAGTGTGAGTGTGAGGGTCCGTGAGTGCGAGTGTGCGAAGGGCAGGGTGTGAGCAGGAATGGGAGGGGGCGCCGCGGGCCTCGAGCCAAGGGCGGGGGGAGGAGTGGTCCGACCTTGGGCAGACCTCAGGGAGGCGGTGTCACGGGCTGGGGAGGGGGCTTCGCTGAGAGCCCGAAGGTGGGGAGTGGGTGATGGCGGGCAGCCTCTCCGCACCCACGACCCCCACTGAGGACCACACTGACGGTATCTCCTTTGACCCACCCCACAGCCCCCGGGGGTAGGTGCCCTCTCTTTGGCCGATTTATTTATTTATTTTTCTTTTACAGATGAGGAAACTAAGGCTGAGCGATAAGTGACTGACCCAAGAGTCACCCAGCAGAGTGTCTGGGGCGGGATTCGAACTCGGGTCTTACTGACTCAAGTCTGGCACTCCGTCCATCGGGCCATCTCTTTCGTGCTCTGCCCGTAGAGGAGCATTGACGGGTCAGCCAGCTAGAGCCTACTTGTGGGGGCTGGGGTGGGAGTTGGCCGACCCCTGGACTGGAACATCCAGCTCCAGCTGACTCTAGAAGGAATAGGGGGTCCCCTGGAGTTCATAGAGTAGGGACAGGTCAGGGTCAGACCTACCTTTTAGGATCGTCCCCTTGGCAGCCACCGGAAGGGTGGATGGGAGAGACTGAATATTAGATACTGAGACTCAGGAGATGTGGTCTAGTGGAAAGAGAGCGGGACTGGGAACCAGGAAAGACCTGGAAAGTTGTGTCTTGTAAATAAGGTTTTCTTTGCTGTTTGCTTCATTTCGTAGGAAGCTCTGGAGGAGGGACTTTCTTTACCAATACAGATTGTCACCTGCGCCACTTAGAGGAATAGAGGGTTGTCTCGGGCACTGAGAGCATCACAAAGCCAGGAGGTGGCAGAGGTGGAACTTGAACCCAGGTCTGCCTGACTCGGAGGCCAGTTCTGTCCATATTGCCATGATGCCTTTCTGAAATTTCTAAATTTTGAAATCATAAAACCTTGAGAAAATTCTGATTTCTGAAGTCATAGTACCTTCCTCCAGAAGGGCAACTGATGTAGTGAGTAATCTTACTTCTGACCTGAACTGGCTATGGGATCATGAGCCAGTGCTCCAGGCTTTTTAGGACTGTTAAGTTGCAGTTGAGTTATTATTGGTGTAGATGGAGGGTTTCTGTACCAGGAATTCCCTCTGCTGATGAAATCGCAGTTAGAGACTTCTGAAGAAAGCAATCGTGAGAGAAGTGCTTTGCAAACCTTAAAGATGTGTGTCTGACACAGTTACTGACCCTATTGACTGTGTGGAATTGTGAGGATCTAATGGGATGATGTATTTGAAGTATTCTGTAAGCCTTAAGGCAGTGAGTGTGTATGAGCTTTGAGCCTGAGCTACTTGGACCTTTCATCTTCCTCCTCATTTTATTCCTTTCCCTCATGAACATGGTCCAAAGAAAAGTGCACAGGATTGGTATTGAGTTGACTGTGTGTATATATCTCTCTACTGGCACCTTCCCTTTTCTCTACAAACATGCTCAGATCTTCTCCATTCCCTTCACAATCCCTTTAAGTTATCTATATCTCTTCTTTTGTAGCCAAATTCCTAGAAAATGTGTATTGTCCTTGCCCGACTTCTACCCCTTGCCATCTCATTTCTGATCTCAGCCCTCAACTGAAACTGCTCCTTCAACATCACTCTTCACCTCATAATTACTAAATCTAATGGCTTTTTCTCAATCTTCTTTCTTCTTGGTCTGCAACAGTGGTATCACACTCAAATAGAAATGATCCGTACTGACTTAGAAAACCACAAATTAACATTATCTGTGTTGTATGGCATTTTTATTCATTTTGTTAAATATTTCCCATTTACATTTTAATCTGGTTTTGCCTGACATTCGAGGGCTGAGGATTTGACACTTCTGGTCTACAATATTAGAGTCTGACTACCCCTTCTTCTTGAATAGATAACTAAATAGATAAAGTATTTACTAAGTACTTAGTTTGTGCCAGGCAGTGTGCTAAGCGCCGGGGGAATACAAAAAAGGGAAGGTGGTCCCTTCTCTTAAGGAGTTTACATTCTAATGAGGAAGACAAGATATAAAGGTGGGAGTGCCCTACCCTCTCTTCTCTGGGATTTCCTGACCCTGCTGGCTGCATCATGGAGTTTGTGGAGGAGAGTGAAGTATGAGAAGAAGGAAAAGGTATACAGGGTCAGGTCGTAAAGGTCATAGAGAGCCTTAAATGCCAAAAAGAGGGATTTATATTTGATCCTAAATAAGGAATTTTTGTTGTTTACTGAGTGGGGTGTGTCATGGTCAGACCTACATTTTAGAAAAATCACTTTAGTAATGATATGATTGTGCATATTTTTGCTCTCATTTTTCAGTACATTGTAAGCTCTTGTTTCTACCTGGAGCACAGTAGGTTGCAATAAATTAAAGTTTTACTGATGTTTTTTGTCCTTTCCTCTAGTGATTTCCTGACATACACTTCTCCCTCAATAGAATTTTTCCTTGTGACAAATAAAAACAGTTAAGTTATATCAACAATACAGTAACTGGGTTTTAAAAGGTAGACGTGTGTTTTGCACTGAGTCCACAGCCTCATTTGAGTGTTTGTATTCCCAGCACCTTGCACAGTGTCTGGTACAAAGTAGGGGCTTATTAGATACTTGTTAAGTTGGAAATCTGTGCAGAAGTGTATTCAGTATTTGTGGTTGTGTTGGTTAAGTGCTTGTTGAATGAATGTCAGTTCAGTAAAACTCATTTTGTACCCATTTGCATATCCAAGGAAGTCTTTCCATTTGCTATATAACTGATAATACTGGGCTTTTCTTGGCCACTGTCTTGTGACTGATCTCAGTTCTGCCTGTAGATGAAGGTCAATGCTAGAGAACAAGAATCAGTCCTAGGAGTAAACATCCTGGCCCTAAGACCCTTCAATACAGAAACGGCTGAAAAATTTGCTGCTGGTACTACATTAATATGCCCATTCTGGCCGAGAAGACAAGACTTGGGAAAAGTTACAATGTAAGGAAGGGGGTGACTGGAGTATTTGGGACTAGTGTTTGAGGAGAGGTGAAAAGTACAGAAACCATGTGGGAACCTGTGTGTTGTGAGGAAAACAAGATAATTACCGGGGACCATATAGGAAGGACTTGTCAAGGTAGAAGAGGTCAATATGTATCCCAAGTCCTGACTACTTCCTTAACTCCCTCCCCCACACATGCACAGACAGGATTACCTGGTCCAGTTTCACCAGGGCTTTCTGGACTGAGCTGGCACGTTTCCTTCAGTACCACCATACTACATACACTGTAGGGGTCCCTGCCCAGGATGGGGAAAATCACTCTTCTTGTTCAATCTGGAGAAAGTAGCAATTTTTTACAAGGAAGTTTTAGTGAGAAACTAAGAAGAAAAAACTTGTTTATCTCTATGTAAAAGATTTAGGTTTTAGTAAAAGTAAGTAAAAGAATTAGGTTTTTCTGCATGTTAAGAAGATGTAGTCATGAAGAAATCCAAAAACCAAGAATGAGAAGCATGAAGTGGAGCATTTTTGTAAATACCAATGAAGGGGAAAACAAATACGTTCATCCTCAGTATACCATATACCACCTGGATAGAAAATAGAAATAAGGAATTCGAGAAACAAGATAATGCTAGCACAGAGGCAGGATATTGTAATGAGGAACTTCAATTATCTGGATATCTGCTGGAGCTCCTTTCCAGCTGTAGAACTGCTAATAATGTCTTGGCTTACCATTATCGATGGAGGAATTAACCAGGGGGAATTTTGTACTGGATCTCCTACTACTGAGCTAGAATGAACTGAGAAAAAAGATGAGAACATTGGGGGAAGTGCCCACTTCTGCAGAATTTGTGATAGAGAAAGGAAAACTGCACATAGTCTGATGTATAGTCTAGATAGAATTCATAGGAATAGGTAGCATCCCATGGACTAAATTTATCAGAGCTCAGTCCAGAAAGGACAAGGAACTAAAGACAAATTCAGAAGATAAAAGGAAAAAAAAAATCTTCCAAAGCAGAGGAAAAATGGGAACTATATGAAGAGATTTATGTGGGTGCATGGAAAACTCATTGTTAGATTTTTTTCCTTGTTTATTTTGGTTACATTTGAGTGCCAAGCTGTTTCCCAGCCCTGCACTAGAGAAGGCCAACATTTCACACACACACACACACACACACACATATGCATATGCATATATTCTTTCAGGTGGATAGCCTTCCTTCAAGGTCCTTTGTAGTTAATTTGAGTATTCATTTCAGAGTATCTTAGTCATTCACATATATTCAAATAATGTTGCTGTTAATGTATACAACATTTTCTTGGTTCTGCTCATCATGTCATGCAAGTCTTTCCATGTTTTACTAAAATCCACCTGCTCGTCATAGAGCACATTAGTACTCCGTCACAATCATGTACTACAACTTATCCAGCCATTCTCCAATTGATGGGTATCCCCTCAATTTCCAAATCTTTGCCACCACAGAGATCTGCTATAAATATTTTAGAACGTATAGGTTCTTCTTTTTCCCTGATCATTTTGAGAAACAGACCTAAAGTGGTATTGCTGGGTCAAAGGGTATACACAGTTTTTAATTCTTTGGGCATAATTCCAGATTGCTTTCCAAAATTGTTGGATCAGTTCACAGTTCCACCAGCAGTGTATTAGTTGATTTTTTTTTTTTAAAGAAGTATACAACACATGGTAACAAGGGCAAATAAGCTACAAATGAGCTAAGTCTAAAGAAGAAAAGTAAGGGCAACAAAAGTCTCCTTCTATACAATTTCCCTTGATCTCATTAGCTCCCATGGTTTCAATGGTCATTTTTGCTGAGGATTCTCAGATAACTCTGAACTTACATCTCCAATGGGATGTCCTGCAGACATCATAAACTCAACATGTCCAAAATAGCTCATCCCCCCGCCCACCCCCATACTTGCCCCTTTCTTACTTAGCTGTTACTATCCAGAGCACCACCAGCAGTCAGCCAGGCTCACAACCTAGGAGTCATGGTTAACTCTTCACTCCCTTACTACTACCCCCACATCCAATCTGTGGCCTAGTCCTATTGATTTTACCATTGTAACATTTCTCACATATATAAATATATATGTATGTGTATGTACATATATATATATATCCCTTTTTCCTCTGACACTGACCCTGCTCTGGTGCAGGCCCCCATCATCTCACACCTGGACTGTTGCAATAACCTGCTGGTGGTTCTGCTTGCCTCACATCTCTCCACTCCATCCTCTATTCAGCTACCAAATATATCTTCCTAAGGTGCATATATGATCATGTAACCCCACCACCCCTATTCAGTAAACTCCAATGACTACCTGTCACTGCAATGATTAAATATAAAATCCTGTTAGACATTAAAAACCTTTCATGACTTGGCCCCTTCCTACCTTTCCAGTCTAACACCACACTCCTTACC